AACAGAAAAGTGGGTGAAGGGAGATGTCGGGCAGTGTAAGACATGACAAAATAATAATAATGTATAAATTATCAAGGGTTTGTGAGAAAGGGAAGGGAAAAATGAAGAGCTGATACCAAGGGCTCAGATAGAAAGACAATGTTTTGAGAATGATGATGGCAACAAATGTACAAATGTGCCTGACACAATGGATGGATGTGTGGATTGTGATAAGATGGATTGTATGAGCCCCCAATAAAGTAATTTTAAAAAATAAAAAATAAAAGATAATAGAAAACAATGACAACTAGAACAAATTTAAATGTGTCAAAGGAGAACAAATGAAAAGATGTTACATTTTGATCTAACTACATTGGCATTAGTCTGCTTTCTGATATAATCTGTCTGATAGCAAGGCTATTCACAACCCTGGCCAATGCTCAGAGGGGGTTCACTGGGGGCTAACTTCACATAGGGTCCCTGAAAATGTATTTTGGGCTTTTACTGTTACCCTTAGCCTTAATCAAACTGGGTGCTTAGAATTTAAGCTCTACTACTGTTCCCTCCTCCTATTTTGGATTTTATTATTTACAATATTTGGATCACATAGGCTAGTGTGCTTCTTCTATGTGGACTGAGCTGTAACCTCACTTGGATGGTTACTTGTTTTAAGATGGGCCTTTAAAACCCTAGACATTATTCTGATAGCTGGGCACCATCTGCTTTCTTCACATATTTCTATATAGCACCCATATCTTCATTGATCTCTTCGTGAGAGCGGATATTGAATAGGATCATGCCATGAGAGTGAACTGTTCTTAGGTTAGGGTTAAAATTAAGCACATGATCAAAATCCATTCACGTATCTCACTTATTTATTCATTGTCATGGAGTAGACCCTATAGAACAGGGTAGAACTGTTCCATGTGGGTTTCTGAGGCTGTAACTCTGTACAGGAGTAGAAAGTCACATCTTTGTCCAGAAGGATGGCTAGTGGTTTTGAACTTCTGACCTTGTGGTTAGCAGCCCAATGTGTAAAATATGCCCAGACATCATTATCTGTTTACTGGGGAATATTATAAATCATCTTCATGGGACAAATGGTAATTCTAGTGATAATATAATTAATTTAGCCAATGTTATAAAGTTTCAAATATTGTTTAGAAATAGTAAGTGTGCATGTATAGGCTATCTTTCTAGACCAAAAATACACAGATTGTTGGTCAG